AAAAAAAAACACGTATGTTTTTAAAATTCCTGCCTCATGGAATGTATGCCTTTGTCAGGAAGATAGACAATTAATAAATGTATGCTGCCTCAGGTGACCAGAAATGATAGAAAGACAATTAGAGCAGGAAGAAAGGACCGAAGCCAATCAAATCCAGGTAATCAGGGAGTCCTCTCCGAGGAGGTGGCATTTGAGCGGAGCCTGCAGAAGTGTGGGAGTGAGCCCCACAGTGCTCTGGGGAAGGAACAGTGAGGGCTGCATTCCTCCCATAGTAACGTTTGTGATATGTTCGAGAACAACCAGGAGTGAGGTCTGTCCCTAAGAAGCCAATGGGAGAGTACAGAACAGGGTCAGAGGTGCCTGGAGGCAAGGGGAGGTCATGCAGGACCATTTAAGTCATAATGAGACTTGCAATTTTATTCTATATGTGGTAGGAAACAACTGGAACTGAGTGCATTGGGGAGCACATGATTTGCTTTTCCAATGGTGATAAAAACTAACAGTAAGTGTAATTTATCGAATCCTTACTATGGTTTAGGCATTATGCTAAGACTTCCCATGTTTTATTACATTCAGTCGTTGCAAGGATGAATGATTTTGTACCATTTAAATGAGACATTTGTGTTTCAGTCTCATTTAAGTGAGACATTAGTGCTTCAGAACTCCTTCACCCAACAACTGCTTCTCTGTTTCATGTGAGCAGCGAGAGATGAATGGCCTTTTAGGCACAGTCTACTAAATTATGTTGGTTCATTTATTCACACAACAGGCACAGACAACCGTGGAGCTTAGAAAGGTGAAGAAGTCACGCTCCCTGGACAACAGGAGCCTTTAACACGCCTTTTACCTGCTGTAGTACTCAAGTAGCAAAATGTACAAGTTAGCATTTCTTGCCAACTCACTCAGCATTCTGAGATAGAATATGCAAACCAACTTTGCCCCCTGCAAGCTAGGAAAGGAACAACAATGGAAGTCTGCTTTATCATACAAATAATTGCTGGTTAATAGAAATAGTATGGTATTTATTTCCGATTAATATACTGCATGTGGTGCATTGGAGTTATTAATCAGTTGCTGATATTTTAACTACTTTATGAATAGATATTTAATCTCATAGATGATGCTACTATGGTTAATTATAGACAAGTAATTGCTTTATTGGCATTTTACTAAAAGATCACCATTAAGCACAGCATGGGTTTATGTATGGTGAAGGACCTTGATTTTGTTTGGAGAATCAATGAAGGGCAACAAGAGTGAACTCTAGAACTAAAGCACAATGAAAGTGCCCATAATACTTTTGTTTAATGTTTAAATTATGTTGTTTTCTTCCCAGGCTATTCCTTCTTCTATTAAGCGTTGTGAGCATTGTGTGGGTCCCACTGGTACAAGTATCTCAAAATGGACAACTAATCCATTACATAGAATCAATTTCTAGCTACCTTGGGCCTCCAGTTGCAGCTGCCTATCTGCTTGCCATCTTCTGTAAAAGAGTCAATGAACAGGTAAGTGAAAACTGGAAAAAATTTTCCCTGCTGGAGTGAGAAAAAAATTGTTTATTTCTCTGGGGTATCAAAATACATTCTTTCTACCCTATTTATACAAGTCATGGCCCATCTTAAGTTCAGTTGAGATCAGCCACAATTCCTGATCCTTACTAAAATATAAAAATAGGGCGCACATTCATAGTACAGTCTTTATATGTTTCTTACAAAATATTATGTACACACGATGGTGCAGAGTTGAGGTACATGTTTGGGAGACAGACTGCCAGGGCCCAATCATGGCTATACCACCTGACAGTATTGTCATCATGAGCAAATTACTTGAATTGAGAGTCTAAAATGAAGATAATGATAGCACCTATCCTGTTAGATTGTTGTGAGGATTAAGTGAAATAAAATATGTGAAATTCTCAGAAGAAAACCTACCACACTAGTAAGAATTCAAAATGTGTTCATTGCTATTGTGATATATGTAATTAATTGATTATTGTGGATCATGTACCCTTAATTTTTTCATTGTTCCTTAGTACTAGCCTTATTATTATGATTTTCTGATGAGGAAAAGGTGAAGAGGGATTAGTATCTATGTGTTTTACACATGTTACTTAGTGGGATCTTGGGATTCGGGCTTACATTTTCCTCCATCCAAAGCTCGTACCATTATTCTCCACGCAGTACCAGTACTGCTTTTCTAAAACATCCTGAACAGAGGAACAGGGACACGTTTCCACCCCCATCAACTTCTTACAGAAATAAATTATCAAGCACTTCATGGAACTCTCAAAACTACCTAATATCAGCTCTGGAAATTGTGTAACATACTATCAAATAAATCACAAGTGTTTTGATCTAACTATAAAACAAAAGACAAGGAAAACTTCAGCTTGGGTCATTGTAGAGTGTAGTATCCTGGTATTGGAGAATCAACAATGGTGCAGTGGTATGTGCCATTCAGGACCATGGAAAGCAGCATCCAACTAAGAAGCACGTGTATTTGCAACTTTCTCGACTTTGGTAGCCTTGTGCCCAAGGTTAGACATTTGCTGGTCCTTAGCTGAGAAAGCAGGCAGGACTATAATTATGACTTACTTGAATGAACTTCTCATATTTTCTAAACACTCTGATTTTCTTCTTGCTTCTTTTGCAGGGAGCATTCTGGGGTCTAATGGTTGGACTTGTGATGGGCCTCATTCGTATGATCACAGAATTTGCTTATGGAACAGGGAGTTGCTTGGCTGCCAGTAACTGTCCCAAGATTATCTGTGGAGTGCACTACCTGTACTTTTCCATCATTCTCTTCTTTGGGTCCATGCTGGTCATTCTGGGAATTTCCCTCTTAACAAAACCCATTCCTGATGTACATGTGAGTGATGAGTAATGGATATAAGCTAATTTTAAAATAAGAGTTCTGGCTGGACACGGTGGCTTGCGCCTATAACCCCACACTTTGGGAGGCTGAGGCGGGCAGATCACAAGGTCAGGAGTCCGAGACCAGCCTGGCCAACATGATAAAACCTTGTCTCTAAAGATACAAAAAATTAGCCAGGCATGGTGGTGGATATCTGTAATCCCGGCTACTCGGGAGACTGAGGCAGGAGAATCACTTGAACCCCGGAGGCGGAGGTTACAGTGAGCTGAGATTGCACCATTGCTCTCCAGCCTAGGAAACAGGGCAAGACTCCATCTCAAATAATAATAATAATAATAAAATGAGTTCTTTGCCTTTTATTTTTTGAGTGTATGAGTTCCAGGAAGTGTATTCGTTGCACCTCTAGAACTAGAAGAACCCTAAGAGATTATCATTCTGTCATTTAAATAAAGAACAATTTGCATCTAGTATGTGCAAAGCACCAGTGAATTAAACAGAAATTAGAAAATGGACATTATATTTTGTAAACTTTACAGTGTAGTTGGGAAGTAAATCTACAATATTGTCATAGGACACTAGGAAGAGAATAATTAGTGTTTCCTAAGATACTGGGAAAGGCTTCACAGCAGAGCTGTCATCTGGGCTGTGCCTGTTTGGGCCAACAGGATTTCATACATAGCATGAACACTGATTAGCACAGAGATGGAGGGAAAGTACATGGCACCAGGGAGCAGGAAAAGAAAGGATAATGAGATGCACTTCTGCCTTTCAACTTGGCAAAAATGTTTAATGTGAATAATATTTAATGTTAGTGCTTATATTAGTGTTGTGGGAAAATTCCCACAGTCCAAAACTGTTGGAGAGTACATAGATTTTATAATTTATAGAACAACTGGGCGGTATTTATCCATTTTTAAATTATTATACCTTATGAATCAACAATCTCAGTTATAGGAGCTTACTGGATACAAATACTTATGCAAGTAGGAAAAATATATGTATAAGGATTTTCTCTGCAGTTTTCAAACAGGAAATAACTGGGAGAAAATCCAAATTTCATCATGAAGGGAATGAGTACATAATCACAATCAATGAACATTGTGCAACTGTTTAGAAACACGAGGGAACTCTAGTAATTGCCTTGAAAAAAAAATGTTCATAATATGGTTAACTAGAAAAAAATATGCATAATAATAATGAATATTAGCACTTTCTGAAAAAAAAAACAACACATGTAGGCATATAGATGTTTGTCTAAGCATAGAAAAAAAATCTTAGGGCATACTCACCTAAGATTTTCAACAAGAGGCATCTCAGCGAGTGGGGTGACACTATAGGGCCTCAGCAAATATTAATTATTTTAAAAATGTAAATACTACTTATATGCTGATATTGTTTAAGTTGTTTGAATTTATGGCTAAACGTGTGTAGCTTTTATGTATTTTGTATTTATCACTCATAATTTTGGAAGAAATGCTTGTTTATATATTTTTTTGAGGAGTGGCCAGTAGATTATGTGTGGATGGGAAAGCTGAAATACAGCACAGTTCAAAATGTTTTACCAAGGACACGTCACAGAAATTCCTAAATATTTACACTGAATATTGAGAGTTAGATGAAAGAACACTAGAAAACATATCCTGGTTTTAAAATAAATATATAGGTTAATTTCTTATTTGCCAATGGAAATAGCCAATTTCATACAATTTTTAGGAAACAAATGTTGTCTGAAGGACCAATCAGACCATTTTTGTAATTTATGTTTATGTTTCATTAACATGCTGCGAGGTGTAACTTTCAGAATGGACTGGTAAATATCATGGTTATTTCAGAAAAAGTCATGAAGAGTGTTGTGAACCTAGCCTAAAAGTGCAGAAATGAGATATCCCAGGATGATAGTCTTTCAGCAAAACTAGAAATTACTCAATGCAAGTTAAACAGAAATTGAAGGACTTCCAAGAATAGAGTTTTTAACAAAGAAAGTGGATCTAATTCAAGAAATCCTGTGAATAAGAGCTTATGAAGATACGATTAGGAATCTTAGTGAGGAGGTGAAGGCACATGTTATGTCAATAAAACCAATTACAAACTCTGGTAAATTTGTACAAGAAAGTCATGAGCCAAATTAAAATGAAGCATAAATTAGAATGATAGATTATAAATGTCATTGAACAGGCCGGGTGCAGTGGCTCACACCAGTCATCCCAGCACTTTGGGAGGCTGAGGCTGGTGGAGCACCTGAGGTCAGGAGTTTGAGACCAGCTTGGCCAGCACAGTGAAACCCTGACTCTACTAAAAATAAAAAATTAGCCGGGTGTGGTGGCAGTCGCCTGTAATCCCATCTGCTTGGGAGGCTGAGGCAGGAGAATTGCTTGAGCCCAGGAGGCGGAGGTTGCAGTGAGCTGAGATCATGCCATTGCACTCCAGCTGGGCAACAAGGTAGAAACTCCATTTCAAAAAAGACAACTTGCAGCAATTTCCTTAGAATGACCTAGGGCTGGTATTTACTTGTGTCCAATCGGTACATACAGCATCAATTCAATTTTCAAAAATTTTGAGACAAGAGTCTTGCTCTGTCACCAGGCGCCAGGCTGGAGTGCAGTGGCGCAATCTCTGCTCACTGCCAACCTCCACCTCCCAGGTTCAAGCAATTCTGCCTCAGCCTCCTGAGTAGCTGGGACTACAGGCGCATACCACCATGCCCAGCTAATTTTTTGTATTTTAGTGGAGATGGGGTTTCACTATGTTGGCCAGGAATGATCTCGATCTCTTGACCTTGTGATCTGCCCACCTCGGCCTCCCAAAGTGTTGGGATTACAGGTGTGAGCCACCGCGCCTGGCCTATTTCCAAATTTTAAATCAACATATAGACTAGGCATGGAAATCTTAATATATTTACAGAAAATAAAATTTATATAAAGCATAATAGTTAAAAATAATGTATAGCTGACAGAAGTTTGGAGGTGGGTTAGGAAAAGGGATGTGTAAAGGTACTAATTCCATCTGGAATTCAAGAATAGTATATAGATACTAGCAAAATATGATGGATCCAGAAGAACTTAAACAGATAGTTTGAAAGTTATAAAAGCAACCACTAGATAAACTGAAGGAAATAATGATGTAGCTAATAACAGTTGGATGTTAAGGACATTGAGTGAAGCTGGGGTATAGTGTAGGTTTGCTAAATCTTCAACTTCATTAAAATTACAAATCCAGAAGTAGATATTTTTAAGTATATCATTTGAGGTTCTGAATAGCAACCAGAAGAATTAAAAACAGAAATAATTTAAAATGGTTAGCATAAGTTTTGGTGAGTGAGTGTGGTAGGCAGACTTTTCTTTGTGATCTATATTCTCCTGTGTGTCTTGATTTTTTAAAAAACCAGACAATAGACAGAGGTACCATTCCAGAATATTATTGCAAACATCTGCCTATTACTAATGTACTTTTGTATGGTTTCTGTTCAGCTGTACCGCCTGTGCTGGGCTCTTCGCAACAGTACAGAGGAACGAATTGATATAGATGCAGAAGAGAAAAGTTGGAACGAAACAGAGGATAGTGTTGATGAAGGTAGTATTTGGTTTACATTTGGTTTTCATGTAGGAACTCTGCACATGCTTAATGGTTTTCTTTTACTGTCATTAAATTTAGCTTCTGAAAAAGCTGTTAGATTTATGACAAACTGAAACTTTACATTTTTACCTTTCTAACAACCAAGATAGCATATTAAATCCATCTATTCATCTGCCTCTCCATTGGTCTGTCTGTCCACCCATCATCCATCCATAGTTACTGAGATGACAATGCGTTACAAACTCACCTGTTCCTAGTTACGTTAAGTGTTCAGTCTTGATTGGCTGTAACTAAGCATCTAGCCCCACCTTCTCTCCAACTTTATTTCTCAGTATTTTCTCTAACATACCCTCCATTCCAGGCAGGCAGGTTTCTTCACTTTTCCCCCCATGCGCCAACTTTCCTAGAATATTTCTATCTCCATTCCAAGAGAAGAAAAAATGCGTATTCTTTAAAACTAAGTTCTAATCTCACTTCCTTCAAGAAAATTTCTCCATCATTCATCCCCATGACTCTGATTACCTCGTATTTTTTAAACCACAGAGAAGGTTTAGCACTTCATAATATGTTGTTTTAAACTAAACAACAATTCTTTTGTCTTTTTTGGTTTGGTTTCTTCAAAGCAAAGCAAGAGTCAGTGCCTTCTGTTCCTTCTGATTTTTTATATTAGTGTTCCCGAGTATGATTGGTCTATCATTTTCCGGTTTTGTACTAAGTCTTTGGTTTTGGTATTAAGATCAGAGTTATCACAGAATGAATCAGCAATTAGCCCATTTTTCGATTTCATGAACATATTTCAATAAGATTGAAATAATGTTGCCATTGTATTTTGCCAATAAGACCATTACAGCGCGCTCTCTCTCTCTCTCTCTCTCTCTCTCTCTCTCTCTCTGTGTGGGGGGAGGGGCATACTTCTTAATGATCAAATTTATAGAACTATTTAGAGTTTTCATTTCTTCATTAATTGGTTTTGGAAGATTATATATTATTCTAGGATCGTGTCCATCTAGTGAACATTTTAAATATATTGGCATAAAGTTATTCATAGTGTTCACTCACCCATCTATGCTGCTTCTATAGTTGTGTTATCCTTTTAATCCCTAGTGTATTTTTGTGATTTCTCTTTTTTCTTAATAAATCTTACTAAAGATTTGTCTAGTTTACTTTTCTCAATGAACGAACTTCTGACTTTGTCATTTCTCTCTATTCTTCTTTTCTATTTCATCCCTTCTGTTTTTATTTTGTATTCCCTTCCATTTGTATTATTTGGGTTTATTCTCTTATCAAGTTGGATATTAACTCATTCATTTCCCGTAAATCTGGAAATTTGATTTTTCTTTTTCTTTAATTGTTCTTTTCTAATATAAATAACTAAGGCCACATACATTTCCCTCAAAGTAATACTGTTTTGAATCTCACAGCTTTTAATTTGTATAATTTTCATTATCATTTATAAGTATCTTACTTTGTAATTTTTATAAACATTTGAGTTTAGAAGTATTAAATTTTCCAATGCTGTAACAGATAGTGATATACATGAGTCTCCTTGTATTTTTGCAAGTATAAGTTGGGGATAGATTTTGTGGAGTTTGGTTGATGGTAAAAGGCTTCATGCCTATACAATTTTGCAATACGCTAATTCCCCTCCATAGGGAATTTGCTTTCCTAGCAACGGTATAGAAGAGTGCCTGTTTCCACACAAACTCACTAACGTAGTATGTTGTGAAACCTCTGAATTTTTGCCACTGAGAGATAGTAGTATAGGTTTAGTTTAAATTTCCCTTTTTGATTGAGTTTCAGAACCATGTGTCTTTTTTCTTTCAACTGTTTATTCAGCTCTTTAATAGGCTGACATGGGGTGTTGATAGCCTTTTCTTATCTATTTTTAGAAACCCACTATATATTAGAGATATTAAACCCTTTGTAATAGAATTTGCAAATGTTTCCCCCATTTTGTCATTTGTTTTTACTTTGCTTACTGAACTTTATGCCACAAAAAGTTGCCTGTTTTACATAATTAAATTTATCTACATTTTCTCAGGGATTCCCCTAACACTCCCAGGTGATTGTAATAATTTTTTACAGTCATCTGTACTACACTGACAAGGATTTCTAGTTCCTTTGAGATGTAGATCTTGTGCCATGATTTGCTTATCTTTGTTCCAGATTATCCTGAGCAATCACGTGGATGTCTCAAGAAGGCTTATGACTTGTTCTGTGGTTTGCAGAAGGGACCCAAGCTAACCAAGGAGGAGGAGGAAGCCCTGAGCAAGAAGCTCACAGACACGTCTGAGAGGCCCTTGTGGAGGACAGTAGTAAATATCAACGCCATCCTCCTCCTAGCTGTCGTGGTCTTCCTGCACGGCTACTATGCCTGAACTCTATCCAAGCCACTAGAATATGAATAATTCTTAGTAATGAAGCAAAGGATAATTTTAGTGAAGCAAAGGATAATTTTCATTTTATAGTATGTGTGTGCCAAAAAAAAAAAAAAAAAAATGAGCAGTTGGTAATTTTATCCAATGAGATGACTATAGACTTGGTATTTCGCTTTTGTTCTTCCTTTGTGTCATTACAAAGAGTTGATAATTTATAAAATTATAAAGTGACCCATAAGTGTGTAAACAAGACACACAGGTCTAAATTCTATTTTTCCAGCTTTATTGAGGTATAGTTAACAAGTGAAAATTGTTTATATTTAGGATGTACACGGTGATGATTTGATGTATGTATACATTCTGAAACAATAAGCACAATTGAGTTAACTAACACATCTGTCACCTCACATGGTTACCTTTTCTGTTTGTGTGGTGAGAACTGATAGACTCTCAGCAAGTTTCAAGCACACAATACAGTATTAGCTATAGTCACCATGCTGCCCTTTAGACCCTCAGAATATATTCATCTTATGAGTGAAAGTTTGTACTCTTTGACTCATATGTCTCTACGTACCCCACCCCCTTCCCCCTATACCCCAGCCAACCATCATCTACTCTGTTTCTATGAGTTCAACTTTCCATTGCAGCACTATTCACAATAGCTAAAATACTGAAACAACCTTAGTGTGCTGTGATGGATGAATATACATATATTCATCCATTATGAATATACATAATGGAATACTATTCAGCCATAAAAAAGAAGAAAATCCTGTCACTTGCAACAATGTGTATGAACCTGCAGGACATTATGCTAAGTGAAATAAGCCAGACACAGAAGGACAAATGCTATAGGATCTCACTTATATGTGAAGCCTTAAAAACAGAATGACCTGGTTATTTGTTCTTAATCTGGTGTGCTGCAGGGGCAGAGCCCTCATGGAAAACCTCTGCTAGGGCAGTGTGGAAGAGAAATGTGAGGTGGGAGCCCACACTGGGGCACTGCCTAGTGGCGGTGCGAGAAGAGGGCCACCATCCTCCAGACCCCAGAATGGTAGATCCACCACCAGCTTGCACCGTGTACCTGGAAAAGCTTAAGACACTCAACACCAGCCCATGAAAGCAGCCAGGAGCGGGGCGGTACCCCGCAAAAGCCACATGAGTGAAGCTACCCAAGACCATGGGAATCTACCTTTTGCATCTGTGTGACCTGGATGTGAGACATGGAGTCAAAGAAGATCATTTTGGAACCTCAAGGTTTAATGCCTGCCCTATTGAATTTCAGACTTGCATGGGGCCTGTAGTTCCTTTATTTTGGCCAATTTGTCTCGTTTGGAATGGGTATATTTACCCAGTGCCTGTTTCCCCACTGTATCTAGAAAGTAACTAATTTGCTTTTGATTTTACAGGCTCATAGGCAGAAGGGACTTGCCTCATCTCAGATGAGACTTTGGATTTGGACTTTTGAGATAATGCTGGAATGAGTTAAGACCTTGGGGGACTGTTGGAAGGGCATGTTTCTAAATGTGAGGACGTGAGATTTGGGAGGGCCCAGGTGTGGAATTATATGGTTTGGCTGTATCCCCACCCAAATCTCGTTTTGAATCGTAGTTCCAAAATTGCCATTTTTTGAGGGAGAGACCCAGTGGGAAGTAATTGAATCATAGGGGCAGTGTTCTCATGGTAGTGAGTTCTCATGGGATCTGATCTTTTTTTCCTTAGACGAAGTCTTGCTCTGTCGCTCAGGCTGGAGTGCAATGGGGCACTCTCAGCTCACCACAACTTCCACCTCCCGGGTTCAAGTGATTCTCCTGCCTCAGCCTCCTGAGTAGCAGGCACCCGCCACCATGCCTGGCTCATTTTTGTATTTTTAGTAGAGACGAGGTTTCACCATGTTGGTCAGGCTGGTCTCAAACTCCTGGCCTCGTTGTGATCTGCCCGCCTTGGCCTCCCAAAGTGCTGGGATCACATGCCTGAGCCACCCCACCCGGCCGGGATCAGGTGGTTTCAATAAGGGGCTTCCCCCCGCCACCTTCACTCTGCACTTTTCCTTGCTGCTGCCATGTGAAAAAGGATATATTTGTTTCCCTTTCCATCATAATTGTTTCTCCAGGCCTTCCCAGCCCTGCTGAGCTGTGAGTCAATTAAACCTATTTCCTCTTTAAATTACACAGTCTTGGGTATGTCTTTGTTAGCAGTGTGAGAACAGGCTAATACACCAGGCAAATTGCCCTACCACATACTTGCTTTCTGAAGTTTCCAGAAATTTCCATTTGAAAAGAATGCCTCTTCCAACTCTGCCTCACCTAGTAACCTCCTCATCTACACAACAGTGACTTTTCCTATGAAGCAACCTTCACCTCAGTGTGTGTGTCCTTGGAATACACAATGTCCTCATAGAGAGGACACAAAAATTAGCAATCATAGGAGAAAAAAGTAATATACTGGACTACATCAAAATTAAAAATTACTAGCTAACAAAAGTCAACTTTAAGGAAATGACCAAACAACCCATAAAATAACAGAAAATACTTACAGTGTGTACATCTCACAAAGGAATTCTATCCAGAATAAAAAGAACAACAGTCCAATTTTAAAATGTGAAAGAGAAAGAAAAAAATAACATTTGGAGGAGAGCTTCAAGGTGGCTGACCAGAGGTACCTGACATTTGTTTCCTCCATAAAGAAGGAGCAAAGCAGCAAATATGGTAGATAATCACACATCAAATAGGACATCTAACAGAGAACACTGGCATTCATCGGGGAAGTGACAGGAAACATCTGAGGTACAGAAGAGGAGAAAACCAAGACCAGATGAGCTCCCCAGTGCAGGGGAAAAGGTAAGTGAGAGATCCCCAGGAGTCCACATTTCCACCACAGATTCCTGCAATCCTAGCTATGGGAGAGCCCCTCAACCCTCGTGGGCCCTGAGACAGCATAGGGAGCTGCCTATACTTGTCCACGCAATGACATTGCTCCAGATAGGGAGTTCACGCTGGGTCCCACACGCACACTTGAGACCCAACCAGCTGCACACAGTGCCATTTTGAGAGCCGAGACTCAGGAGGTCTGCCTCCTACCAAGGGGCCCGACAGCCCTGCATCACCACAGCCCTAGAGCCTCACTGACATCTCCCCATATCCACCTGGAGGGCTACAGCAGCATGACTCTGGTTAGACCAGCAGTGTGACCGGGTCTCCAGCACTCTAGCCTAATTTTGGATATGTATTGCAAAACAAATTTTAAACCTATAAATAAGCAATACTAAAATACACACAGAACCATAAAAGACGCTGAAGATCCAAAGCAGTTCCCAGAAATACAAATGCAGCTGGAGGCCTCACTCTTCCCAATCTCAAATTACATTGAAAAGCTATAGTTATCTAAATATAGGAGAGTCATAAAAATAGAACCATATGCTGATGGACACAATTAGGCAGCCAAGGAATGAAGCTGAGAGTATTGAGATTCAACACATTTCTCAAAAGAGCCCCCAAAACACATGGCTAGGCCATTCAGTAAAGGATTTTGAGAAAACTAGAAATCCACATACAAAAGAATGAAATAAAACCTTTGTGTTTCATGCTACACAAAAATCCCATTCAAAATTATTTCAAAATCAAAACAGGACCTTGCAAGTAAGAAAATTCCATGAGAAAACTTAGGGTGAACATTACTTTTGGAAAACCTGAACCTATGCTCACAGGTGCAAACAGAAAGGAAGAGGAAGGAAACACAGAACAAAAAACATTCATTGCCACAGGAATGAATCAGAAATTAATTTTTCTCTGGATTGGACAAAACATTATTATCAACAAAGAAAAATAAACTTGTTGGAACACAAAAAACTGAAGAGCTCCTTCACAAGAAATTTCTGTAACATGAAGTAAAACAGCAGCCTTCTATAAACTGGGAGAAAATGATAGTGATCACATATCTGAGGGAGGTTCATATTGAATATTTACCAGAAACAAAGACTACTAAGTAAGAAAACACACACACACAAAACAAATAATCCAATCAAAACTGGGCAAAGCACCTTAAACGTCACTTTGGGTAAGGACAAATAAAACTGACTAACAAAGAATGGATTCTCCACATCCCTGATTACCTAAAGCACCTCAAATAACACTGGAGCCCTACCTGTCACCATACAAAAATTAACTCAAGATGAATGAAAGATTTCAAACTACAAAAATCCTACAAGAAAACCTGGAAAATAACCTTCTCCATATGGGCTTTCCCAAAGTATTTATATGGCTGACCCCCCAAAAGCAATTACAAGAAACATGGAAACATGCAAGTTAGCCCCATAATCCATGGAGCTGGGGCACAGAAAGAAATTGCCAACACAGTAAACACACAGCCTACGTGATGGGAAAAAAATTTCCCACACTACGCATCTGACCAAATTCTAATAACTCGTATCTACAAGGATCTACAATTAGTCAAGACACAGAAAAATAATCCAATTTTAAAAAAAAAAAAAAAAAGATGGAAAAACCCACAACAGAACAAACTCAAATAATGCAAACGGAAGGGAACACAAATGAAAACAGAAAATAATGAAAGAGCACTTCCTGGCCGGGAAGTGGCCAAGGGGCACGAAGCTGGATATGTCATGCTGGCTGCCCAAGACATGACCCCCTGTGACCCCAGATTCCTTTCGTGGGAATGCTAATCTGAGGTCCCTGGGAATAAGGCCTCCTTCTGACCACTGTTGGGATAGCGCCCAAGCCTTGAGTGCAGCACCAGCTGTGGACAGGGATCTTCTGATAAACTGGCTCCCCTGATGTCAGTTTCCAGAAGCCATGAGCGCTTTCCCAGGGGCCTCAAACTGCTGGGGCTCACATCAACTGACCGGCCTGGGTCTTCCCAGCCCACATCAACCCTCACCGGCCAAGGAGTCTTCCTAAAGGAGGCACCCCAGCAAGAGCTCATGGAGCTCTGGGGATTACTGCAGCCCACAGTGGCCCTGGGGCTGTCTCTGTGGGACTGTTGGATGCCACTCACCCCTGAGCTGAGACAGCAGGAGAGCACAAGCTTGGACAGGGCTTTCCCAGCAATGGAGAGTCAGGGGAGGGTACCCCAGATGATATAGTTCCTACAGCTCCTCTAGAGGAAGATGTCCTTGCCAGTGTGGGCACTGGGCCTGCTCTGTCTAGCTGCCCTGCCTGCCTTGCTGGCACATGGAGCCTGGAGTCTCCAGCTGAGCAGATGCATAAGAGGATGCGGGGTGCTCTTCCCAAC